ACAGGACATCGCTTTCAACATCCTCAAGGATAAACTCATCACTGCCCCTTTACTTCAATACCCAGATTTCTCCGCTCCGTTCATAATAACGACGGATGCCTCCAACTATGCCGTAGGTGCAGTATTATCACAAGGTGATATAGGTAAGGATAAACCTATAGCCTATGCCTCTCGAACACTTAACAAAGCTGAAGGTAACTATTCCACTACGGAGAAAGAACTCCTTGCTATTATCTTTGCCGTCAAGACGTTCCGTCCTTATATCTATGGTAGAAAATTTAAGATCGTAACAGATCATCGACCCCTAGTTTGGTTATTTAATATTAAAGATCCTGGTAGTAGACTTATCAGATGGCGCCTCAAATTAGAGGAATATGACTACGAAATCGTTTATAAGCAAGGCCGTTTGAATTCAAATGCTGACGCACTATCACGTTGTCCTATTAATGTTATAGATATAAAAAAATTAAATAATGCCACTTACGAAAAGTATTTTAAAGATCAATTTCTAAATAAATCAATTACATCAAATACCATTATCGAAGAATGTACTCAAGCGCTACACTTATCTAAATCAAAATCAATCGCCTGTCCAGTCTCTTTAGACTTTGATTATTCTATGCCCCATTGTGAAGAAATATTGTCACAACTTGATAATTCTACTAACTTACTTAATTGCGAGCGCGAACCTTTTACTATACAAGTCATTACAGATAAAAATAAAACCTACTATTTCTTATATACAAAAGTACATCATTACGAAGAAACAAAGTATAGAGATATTTATAACCTACTAATTAAACTTAGAGATAAAATTTTAACCGAAAATCCTCTTGTCACTGAGATTGCATTATCAGATTTTTCTGATCCTTTTTCTAAGATAACTTATACAAAATTATATAATATGATAAGCTATATATTTCATGATACTAATATAAAAATTTACATCTACAAAAATCAACTAATTTATCCCACACCTATTGAAGTCCCAAAAATATTAAAAGAAAACCATGACTCGACAATCGCGGGTCATCCCGGAACAAAACGCATGTATAATAGAATAAAGGCTACTTATTATTGGAAAGGAATGCGTTCTGATATTGAAAACTACATTAAAAATTGTAAGCAATGCCAAATAAACAAACCATTAAGAAAATGCAACAGAGCCCCAATGGAGATAACCTCCACATCCACTAAACCCTTTCAAAGATTAGCTTTAGATATTGTTGGTCCATTACCGGAAGCTGGTTTTCAAAAATTTAAATTCATCTTAACCTTACAAGATGATTTGACGAAATTCTCAAGTGCCTATCCTATGGTAACTTCTACTAGTGAAGAAATCGCTAGAAATCTCGTCCATTTCATGTCCTTATTTGGATTTCCAAAAACAATTTTAACAGATTTAGGCACGTGTTTTACCTCTGACTTATTTAAACAACTTACAGAAATTCTTAAAATTAAACCTCTTTTCACCACCCCATACCATCCTCAAACAAATGGTGCTCTGGAAAGATCGCACGCCACTATGAAGGAATATTTAAAGTCATTTGTAAACGACAATCAGAACGACTGGCACTGTTACTTATTCACTGCGATTTTATGCTATAATACAACGCCACATTGCACAACAGACTTTACTCCATACGAATTGCTATATGGTTATAAGCCATCAATCCCCAGTTCTCTATACGAAACTAATAATAATACTACTTATAATGAATATATTCGTGCTTTACAATATAGGATGCGATTTAGCAGAGAGAAAGCAATTCAAAATATTAATAACAGTAAAGAAAAATCTAAGCAATATTATGATTCTAGTTCTCGTAATATTACGTATAAAACAGGTGACATGGTATACCTAAAACACCATCACCGTCTTCGAAAAGCTTTATCACCCGTGTGGAAAGGGCCTTACAAAATAGTAAAAATGAACGGCAAGCATAACGTTACTTTATCTATTAATAGGAAACATGTTAAGTATCATACAAATGAGATCAAGCCATCTCACTCTTAAATATTATCTTTTCAGATTACTATGGCTTCCCGGTTTTGTGGAGCCTACTGCGACAAGCATTACTCCAATTGTACATAGTCCTGGGATTTACTTTGACCCAGTAACTAATATATATTTTTACAACGACTATTGGAATGTCGTTTCTTTTGTAGATATTATAACTGTGGAGCCTCATCTTAATAATATTGAGAGCTCTATTAGAAAAATTATTGATATATGTATTGAATCGAGATTAAATGAATATATACAATGTAAAGATGTCATTAGCCCTATCGAAGTTTTATTACAATCTAATTTTCTAAAGTTAAATTCATTATCTCATATTATAGGCTCTGATTCGCCGAATCGAGTTAAAAGGTCTCTTGAGTTCGGTGGTGAGATATTAAAATTCTTTTTCGGCACATTGGATGCTGATGATGCTAGGAAATATGATGCTGCTATAGAATCTGCTCAACAGAGCGAGTCTGAATTATTTAGCCTCATAAAAGATAATATTCATATAGTTAAGTCTACCATAAACGCTTTTAATTCTACTGTGTCTAGATTGTCAAAAAATGAGTATCGCTTGAATTCACAGATAAATAGTTTAAATGAAATTTTGTCTCAAACGACAAAAAATAACAATGAACTCATTTATATTTCTAAGTTAAATAATTTAATAAATATTTTAGAGAGCTCATCTTTAGCGATCTCTAATTTTTTAGATTCTATTTTAAACTCTATTTTATTTGCTAAGGCGAATATCTTACATCCTATTGTAATCACACCTACTAATTTGTTAAAAGAACTTAGTAAGACGAATCAAATGATAAACAAAAGATTAGATTTCCCTGTTCCTCTTAATATAGAGACAATCCATACTATAATTGATGTGTCTAAATTAACATCTTACTATTATAATAATCGAATTGTATTTGTTTTACGTATACCTCTCGTCTCACCTATTAAATATTCTACTTACAAGCTCATCCCTTTACCAACTCCTTCAGATAAAAATGTTCCAGAGACATTTGCTCTGATTCATCCTAGTAAATCATATATCGCTATCTCAGATGATAGGCAAAATTATGCACTATTAGATAATATAAAGGAATGTTCTAAAATTAATAATGAATTTAGTATATGTCAATCTGTAACTATTTTATCTTCTAATACTAATCCTTGTTGTGAGTCGAAATTGCTTACAGAAGTCATTCTATCATTGCCTCGTGAATGTAATTATAAACTGCTGCATGGACAAATAGATATTTGGCAGAAATTACTTGGAGATAAATGGATTTTTGTACAGTCAAAAACTAATAAACTCACTATTAAATGTAAAGATGATATTAAAGACTATCCTATAAATGGCACTGGTCTATTAGAATTGTCTCCCGATTGCATCGGATTCTGCAAAACATTGCAATTTTTCCCATCTACTGAAATTACATCAAATTATAAAAATAATATAATCATAGACTTCGACATCACCCAAGATGATTGTTGTAAGAAAGATATTGTCAATAAAACAATTCCATTACTTTCGCCTATCTCTTTAAATAATATTGACTTAGAATCGTTAACTCATGCATCTCGTCATTTGGACGATCTTGAGAATAATCTTAACAGATTCCAAAGTGAATCTCATTTTTATAAATACGGTAGCTATTATTCTGCCTTTACTTACTTTCTTATAGTTATTATGTTTTTATATATAGCTACAAATTGTATAGTTGCATAAGTAAGAAACGGAATCATACTAGTTGTTGTATTCAAATATTTAACCAGTGTAATACTAAGAAAAAAGTTAAAACCGATGTAACAAATTCGATTGAGATGTCCCAGATGTCATCTCATTCTGATGATGAAGATGTAATTAAATCATATCCATCCAATAGAAATTTAAACAATTGATTTATAACTTAAAATAAAAAATTGTGTCTCATTCTAGTATGTACTTACCTATTTTAAAAAGTACACTTTTAATATTTTAGTTGATTCTCATGTTCTTAGTAGTATGTTATATTTATCTTATTTCAAATGTTATCATAAAACGATATTTTGTAACTAGCATAGATGAAATAAGTATTGTACTTAATCTTTTAAATTTTAAACTGTTATCGTAAAGATAATAAATAAATATATAAAAATAAAATTGTGATTTTTTAATATCTTAACTATTGTAATATTATACAATGTTACTAAATCTAATTACTATTTTATATTATCCTAAATCTTACTAATTAGAAAAATGTTATGTTAAAAATAATAAGCATATAAAATAAAAATTGTAATTCTTTACATATTTTAACTTTATTGTTTTTACAAATGTAATGTTTTATAATTTTCTAGATCCTGAAATAATATTTATATATTTTTTTAACGCCGCTTCATCTTAATTTAGATAAAGCTCCGTCAAAAGGAGGGGGCTGTTATAACCCAACATTGTACTTGAGAATAGCTGACAACACGTTCAGTACTTTTCCATAGAAACCATGTAAATGTAAAGTGCAAGATTGCATATTCCATTATTATAATAATTTTAATATTTTAAAGTCAGTTCGGCATTAGCAACCGCGAAGAGCAGTCCTCATTAGCTCTCCACGTTTCGGGATCTAGGAATCAGTGTGTTGGTTATCCTAATAAAAGTAGGAATAGTAACTGTGGTTTTTTTTTAAAAAGACGAATAGAGTGAGCCGCAAAACAGTACGCATTGCTATGTAAATTTATCAAATGAAATACTGTGTATTTTGTTATATTGACCATGTTTTATATTACGTATATTAAAATTAGATCACATTAAAATTCATTAATATACTAAAAGAAATGGTGCCATTGTGAAGAATACGAAAATCGAAACAATTGAATAATTAATTTAACGTTTAGCGGTATTATCGCGGCTAGTGCAGCCAAATTATGTTGCAGTGTATTTGATCAGTTTTCTTCGGTTATAATATACGTTTGCAGTCGGTCACCTTGCAATAAGGTATGGCGATCGCGTCGGGCGCAGGGCGAGAGTGGGCGACCTCATATAGCTTGCGCGGGAGTCGATTCCTTTATTTGTTCGTAGTCCGCGACGTGGTAGTGCCGTGTGGACACAGGACATCATGCGTACGATATTGGTGAGTACATATATTTTCAGTGACATGGTCAGTTATCAAGGGTAGGACAGCCATTCGTAATTTAATATATTAAAAACGTTTTCAATGTCAAATATAAGAAAATTTTTTTTTTTTGGTAATAAATATTTTTTAAATCCTTTACATTTTTGGAGTGAAGAGGGAGTTAAATTAAGTTTCCTTTTTGCAATAATATGAGTGTTTATTTTCTTATATTCAAAAATATTTTTGTTGTAACAATTAAATTTAAAAAATTATGACTAAAAGTGAACGACTTAAGTTAACAATACACTAAATAGTACTGGTTATAAATTACGTGTGACCTGAAATACCTTACGTTAGACATAGTAATAGTGCATAATTGTTTATAAATAAGCTGTTTACTATGGTCACTGGATTGTGAAAGTGTAACAAGTCGTGTAATAATGATAATTGCTCGATTTAGATTCAGTGCAAAGATAGGTGAGAGTGCGAATCTTGCGTTTGAATAGTTTCAATAGTTTCAAGTGTTATATCAGATGAATTCAGGTCGACATCGATACATTACTGGCCGCATAAGAGATATTAGTTACGCGCTTTTAACCTTGGTCGATCGTGAGCTGACAAGTTATTTCAGTGCGAACAAATCTCACTCGGTCACCTTTCGAAGTATAAATATAATGCCCTTCTTAATTCATAAGGCGGAACTAATTGTAAGTACGAACGTTATATTTGGCAAGTGACCCATTATCATGTAAACTATATACGCAATCACGTGAAAAGTGCAAACTTTTTAATAACCGCAACAATATCACTAAATTGCAGTATATGTAATGTACAATAATAACTAATTGTGTCACTAAAAACGAATTTAAAACTAGTTTAACTTGACGCCATTACGATATTTACTCGGTTATTGCAAAATGGCCACATGATTCAGAACAGTTGAATAATTTTGTGCGTACAACTATTTTGTCATGCTTCATCTAGATTTTCTGGTTTAGTTAGCAAGTCCTTACATACAGTATAATGTTAAAGTAATATAAGCCAATAAGATTACAACGTATCACCCCGACTACGCTTGGATGCAATTTATATGTGTGCAATTTACATGGAAAAGGATTTAGCCTATTTTCATAAATTCATCTGAACTATGCAAAATGTTATATAATCATGGAATAACCTTCTTTATAAATTTAAATAAGAATAGCATGAAAATAAAATGAAAATCAGAAGATGTATCGAGAGGAACGTAATAGTAAGAAGTGAGAAATGCAACTTTGTTATATGATTAAGCGAGACAGGAGTTAAGTAATTTAATGTTAAAGTTTAATTTCTTAATTTTTATGTTTACGTATCTCTAATTATGTAAATGATCCTCTTTCTATTAAAAAAAATATTTCTACTGATGCAAATGAATAGTGATATAAAATTATCATCGTACAGTAATAAAAAGATTAAAGTTTTCATAGATTCTTTAAAATAAAAATTGTAATGAAATCAATATGCTATTTATTACAGACGTAAAGGCAAAGATAATAACAAATTCGTGAATAAAAGTAACACTTTAAATAGACTTGTTTAATCAGAGCTGTGCTATTATCTTATAACACTTATTGACGCTATAAGAAATGTACGTATAACATATTTAAATCGTGTAAACAAGTTTTATACACAATAATTATTATCCATTCCACTTTTGCATACCGATTTGCAATTTCTCTCACAATTCGTAACAGTTACGCGACCGCTAGTTATGTTATTTCTAACTATACAATAATGTAAGTATAATGCACTTACACTAAGGCCGATATTAGTTGCGGAAATAGGTAGGTAACATATAACTGGTCATAAGATAGTTGACCAAAATTTTAGTATCTGTAGCTCTATGCTTCAAAAACCATGTTAAGTCGTTGGTCATGGCTGCATTTGCTATAGTTATCACTTACAAATCTGGACTGAGAACGCAGGGATTATGGCCCGTTTTCCCTCTTCGATTCCATCCATACACCTGAATCCCAGTAGCGAGGACATTGACGACCGGCTAATAATTTTAAAAATAAACATAACTACGCGAATTCATAAATTCACTACTCACCCAACGAAAAAAGTAAATGACATTTGGAACAAGCCAAAAATTAAAAATATTACACAAATTACACCATGATATGGAATATAATAGGCTGTATAATTTGCAATACGATTATAATGTATTATGGAATTTAATTAAATATTTCAACGTTTGGAATAAGAATGCTAATGATTAAATTTTCTTACAAAAGACATCAACGAGCTTACGTTTACGCTTTACGTCAACCCACGCACGTGTTTGTAAATAACAATGATATGGCTACAAGTTCTTACAAAATAATCTGCCTACGTGTAAATGAGAAATGATATTACATTAAGCGTATAAATTAATTCTCTCATGCAATATGTAAATAAAACTAAAAAAAAATATTTGGCTTAACAAGCATATAATGTTTCGATATATTGTTATCTTTCTTATACCATGATTTGGAAGATTTCAGAGAGCAAATGAAGATAAAATAACTACATATTTAATTTGTTATACAGGGTGAATTCTTATCCATACACAAATAATTTTTCTGTCTTGTACAACCATTAATAATTTTTTTTGCTGTTTCATATAAGTTTTGTTGTTTGAACATTTACATATAAATTTTAATAATAAACAAACTGTAGGCAAATAAAAAAAATATAAACAAAAAATGTTTATAAACATTTTTATTTCCGATATTAACAGATTAACAAAGGAAAAAATAACGTGGACACCTTTTACCGTAACAAACACAATGATAAATTTCAACGATAATATTTTTTTTTCTGTATTATAAATATATAATAAGGGATATTCCATAAATTACGTCACGCGAAATTCATTAATTTTTAAGCATTTGTCTGTACAAATCACGCTTCGTCAACACCTTCCCCCCAACTAATTTGTGACGTAATTTCGTTAGTAATGGATGCCCCTAATACTGTATTTTATTATCTGATTACAATTATCATAAAAATTGCATTATGATAATCAATAAAAAATATTTTAAATCAAATATATTACTAATTAACGATACAAAATTTAGTGCAATCAATATTTACGTTACATAAAATGATTGCAGAGTTGCCACGCCTAAAATATAAAAGCTTCCGTGTTTATACTCACTGCTCCAATTTATTATCCGCTAACATTTTAATATGTAATAACTAATAAATTGCTACTATACTCGTATAGCAAATTAATGTGCTCAAGATAGTGATTTAGACATATTTCGACAACTCAATCCATCAAAAATGTGTTAATATATTCGGATTTACTATTGGTGTGCTTAATTCATAATTATTATTGATAAACTAAAATAACGAAATCACATAGAATGGTGTTAGAGTTGCTATAAATATTATTGTACAACTTTATAGTTTTTATTTGTCAGTTAGTAATTATTATGCCATGTCAGTAAAGATTATGAAATAACTGACATTTCTAGACATTCACGAATCGATAAAATGTTTAACATTTATTCCAATGCCGGTACGCAATAAAAAGTAAGTTCAAGGGTGATGTTTAATTTAAATAGGTTAGATATTAAGGTTCGTAGTAAACAAAGTAAGTAAACAAATCCTTTTGTCTGTTCACGTGGGTACCGTGTAATATTCTTTGAACTACAAATATTCTACAAATAATTAAATATTAATCACGCCTGCAAATTTCAAATGGTGAAGATTTTTTAAATATTCTCTCCTACATTTAAAAGTTTTCTTTTTCTCGTCTAGTATGGAGTATTATTGAAAAAACTTTCAAATATTTGTGAATTTGTAATATTTATGTTGATATCAAAGTCAATCAAAGTTAATATGAGCGACAACTTTTTAAAACGTAAAGGTAAGTATGTGGTAGGTAATGATTATTGAGAGGAGAAATTCACGATGGCGCTTAAATTTTTCTTCCAACGTGTTTTCGTTGGTTTTTGTTAACCTTTTTTAGGATTCCGTGCTCAAAGGGTAAAACGGGCACTCTATTACCAAGACTTCGCTGTCTCTACGTCTGTTTGTCACCAGGTTGTATCAAAATAAATATTTAATGGGGCTCCCATACAACAAACGTTATTTTTCTGCTTGTTTCCGGCACGGACCCTACGTGCGCGAGTCGTACATGGCCGGTTTTTTAAATAAGTGATTATTAAAATTCGATTCAGATACCTGAATTTTTAGTGGCATAGGTATGCGGTGCACCAATTTTATTATTTAATGGTTGTACTGGCCACTCCAATGTCACCTTGAATGGCGGAAGCGCAGAGTACTGTCCTTACCGCATTCAGAGACGCTGGAATGTGTAACTTCATCTAGATATTTAATATTGAATCAGTCAAATATAACCGTCTAACATGTTTATAAATGTGAAGCTACATATAATTACCTTTAAATACTTTTAAGTATTTGATTATCAGTTTTAAAATTATTCATGTTATCGAAACATTCACTTATCATCAAATAATGAGTTTGCATCATTGAGGTAATTAAGAAAAATATATTAGTAATTAGGAACATAGATATTATAGTTATTAATTACTTCATCAATCAAAAAGTGACCTGGTAATGTTATTAAAAAAATATTAATAATTAAATCATGTTACATATAAATATGTATCTGTCGTAATACTCCTATTAAATAACACCATCAGAAAATAAACTAAAAATAGCGCAACACAAAACCATAAATAAACATCACATTTCTAATTTTAACACGTTTCCAAAAGTGGATTATATAGGTGCACTAAGTAACTTTAACTTAGTCTGCCAAAAGTCTGTCGATATTTTACTTGAAGAGTAATTATAGAGTGATATTTTGTCCATTTTTGTATATCAAGCTGTTAGCAGTCGTTGCGACAATGTTCAAGTCAACTTAAGTTACTTAGAAACTTTACTACCGGACCGCAATTTCACAATCCGAGCCATTATAAAATATAGGTACAAGCGTTATTACCGATATCATTTGTAATTGCTTAAAATAATATTACCTTCGTCAGTCAATAAGTCAAAATATAGATTCGAAAATATAAAAATCATAGTTATTATAGTTTCACAACACAATAGACCTATGGTGTAGCTTCCCGTAATTGAAAGAATTTTTAAAATCGGTTCAGTGGTTTCGGAGCATATCGATGTAAACAGTTAAAACTAACCTCTTTTTTTTATTAGTGTAATATATATTGTAACTGAAAATGTAAAAAGGTCCAATAATTTTATCAAAACCTTTAACCTTTAGTGAATATAAATTATCCACACGATTTCGTCACAATTCACATAGGATATTTTTTTCATTTCCTGCCCCTTGAGCTGCAATTATAAATTTTAATGAACCATTATCCTTTCGATAAATCGACAAGAGAAACCATTTGCATCCTACATTACACCTTATTATAGTAATTACATTTAAACATTCATCCGATAGATCACATGTACCAAATCATTTATTACAGCAAGTTTAAAAAAGTATAAGTTATCGAATCAAATCTACAATAATTTCGATAACTTAACAAAGTCACAAAGAGCGTAATGTAAACAATACTTATAGTACATGTTTTGTGTAAGCAATATAAAAATATTCACCATTAAAGACTAAAAGGGTTGCGAGCGGTTTTAATGCGAGTAGTCTTACGTTCGTTCAGCAGGCCAATTCTTCAAATGTTTACGTATAATCTCATCTCCATTGAATCTCATTGCATTTTTCCATTTTACTTTATCCCTGTAATTGAATATTATTATATATCTGACATAATTAATGTGTTTAGCACAGTTCGTCGAGTGGTTCGTACGCCAGCTTCAAAGATCTCGATCTTAGATTGCCTGGGTCTGGATGATGTAGTTGTTATACCTTCATTGTCTCAGATGCTCTATAATACGGGGACTTTAGCTACTCATCTTGGAATCTGAGCAATGTATGTGATGTAAAAAATCAATATTTATTATTTATTTATTTTATTTTTACATTGCACAAATAATATTGGCTTTAAATAGATAGTACAATGGTAATATACAAGTCATTGAGAGATGCGATTATTTTACATAAACATTAGCAGGACTGACCTGTTGCTATTCTAAAGGCACTCCGTTAATTAATACAGCGCTATATAAATATTTTAGTGATGGATATAAACTATTTATAATTTTATCTCAATTACTAAAATACATAGTGTCCTCGCGTAATGGAATGGAAAATTGGAAACACTTCTTGTCCATCACTTCTTGTAACAGCAAAGAAATTCAATGAATAATACTTTTATAAATACTTTTTGAAGTTAGTTTTATTTGGTTGAATCTTTATGCTGTGACAGCGCTGTGGTCGACGTTGAGTTCGATGAAAACTTTACAAATAGCTACGGCACTATTTTAGTGAATGAGACAATTATAAATACATAGTCATACATGTAGATACATCGCTAAAATACAAATCGTCGCATTAATGAATAGAAAGCGTTAATACTTTTTATTTTCAGCAAATATAGCTTTTGACGCTGCCTACTTTGTTGCAAACTAACCGTCCAATTTCATGAAGGATTTTATACTACAAAACGCATTAATGATCGAAAATAGTTTTCTTTCAGAAAAGTTATCTTCATTGATTTTATTAAGACGAAAGATATAATTTTTTTTTTTTGTAGTAAGTAAACTCAAAAACCTCTGGACCTATTTCAATTTTTCCACCAATAAAAAGCTACATTATCAACGAGTAAAATAAAAGTACTAAATAGTAAAAAGTAAGGGCATTTTAACTAATTCTATCAAAGTCAATGTTACATAAGACATATTTTAAAATCTCTTTAATGACGAAATAAGAGTTATTAATAATTCCTTTATAACAATACAATAACAAGAGGCGTGAACGATAGTATCATTTGTTGTTTGGAATATGAATGAGCTGTTAATCCACGACTTGTACAGGTGCGCAAGGTCTATGACTCTCGAAAGTATGTCGGTATCACTCAGATAGTACCTACTAACTACTATATAAGTTCTGTAATAGTGAAAGCAAATAACTTTACTTCAGTGTAACTGTTTCTAAGCCTTATTAAGTAATGTGTTTATTCTTATTTACAGATATGTATACTGTGTGCAGTCACAGCTTATGCACAGTACGATTCACCTACTCCTCCAAGACTACAAATAGCTGGTGCAATTCCGTTAGGTGGCCCAGTGAGACAAGGTGGATTCCGCCAAGGAAGAATCAATAGCGCTCCAATCCCAGGAGCAATACCGAGAGGCAGAAGACCTGGTCTTGTTAGACCTTCCTTTAAATCTGTAGACGCTTCACCAAGGCCCAGTCTTCAATCAATAGAAGAACCATCTAAACCAGTGACAGAAGAACCGGAAGATGATTATGAAATAAACACACCTACTGCTTTCTCACCTAATATTCTTTCAACACCGGAACCACAGAATGATTTCTTTGACATCTCTACCACATCTCAACCGAAACCACCGATAATTTTCAATCCAGCGCCATTCCAACAGTCTACACCATCAGTATTGAAACCTGAGCCAATTAAGCCTACACAATACAGACCACTACTTGCACCGCAGTCTTTCAATCCAATAAGAAACGAACCTAAGCCTCAGCCCGTAAGACTGCAGCCATTGTCGAGTAGACCTCAACGACCAGTTTTCAGACCCGAACCCAGACCATTCGTTGAAGAAGAAGAGGCACCTATACAACCTATCAGACAGTACACGAGACCCCAAGAACCTATTCGTGCGCCTGTCAAGAGCGCACCTCAACAGAAATACACTCCATCCAATCCTAGAGAAAAGAAGCCTGTCGCACAAATTATTCGTAAATATAGAGAAGAAAATGAGGATGGAAGTATTACATGGGGTTTTGAAAATGATGATGGTTCTTTCAAAGAAGAAACCATTGGTGTCGATTGTATCACCCGAGGCAAGTATGGATATGTTGACCCTGATGGTTTAAAGAGAGAGTATAATTATGAGACAGGTATTGCTTGTGATAAAAACAATCCAAACCAGGAGGAAAAAGGATTTATTGATTATCAAGAAAACAAAGCTGTATTGCCCAATGGCATAACTATCGATCTCGCTGCCATGGGCAAAAAATCTAAGAGGCCATTCCGATCAACTGTAAATCACTAGTTTAGGATTAAAGTATTTATTTTAGGGAAAAGTAATTTTAAGGTTATTTTTATCTTGTCAAGTCATCAATATTTGTGACATATTAGATCTTTGTAAGTTCTTTTATGTCTTGTTAAACGATGAATTTATAATTCTGGAAATAAAAAAAAGGAAAATTTGTATGTTGCTCAAATAAATATAACCTTGTCCCATCCTGTCCAAATATTACCAAATAAGGGTTTTATCTGTTATTTTGACCAATGATCATTTGCGAATTTGTATTATTAAAACTGCTACTCTACCCCGCGTGCTGCATTTAGTTTAATAAGTTATTTATATAGTTAATGAAAAATGCTTAAAAATCCATCAGCCCCAGGAACTCCGAGATATTTTCCAGTATAGTATTGGCAAAATAGATCAAATATATGTAAGGAATTTATTTAAAAAATGTCATTGCTAAAACTACTAAGTAACTTTGTATGTTTTTGGTAGCGACTAATTTGTAAATAAAACAGTTTTATAGAAATCAACGTGAGTGCGGAAACAATTTGAAAGATTGATGTAAACCAAAAGATTAACTATGGTAGCAAAATGTTAAAAGTCAAGGTCAAGGTAACAGGTAAAAGCCGCGGAGGCGAACGAAAGGAATTTTCTTTACATCTCATATATCAATACAAGTGACATGATTTTGCTTTTAAAGTGCAAGATTAGAGGAAATCCACTTGAGAGCGAAATTTCAATTTTTATTGAATTTCTTGTAATAATATTAAACCCAAGTTCGTTGCATGATAAATTAATTTTCCAAGGTAAACTTTCTAATTAATAATCAAACTGCTGTAAGTGTTTGCTATGATTTTACCATCAGGAAATTGTCAGAATAGGATAGGTTTCAATATTTTTAGAATTCGTGCTAAAACGACATGACATCTTCAAGTTTTAAAATAATAAGCTTCAAAAGTGCTACAGTCTAGAGCCAGGTTTCTCAAAATGGGGTACACGAACCCCTAGGGTTTTGTCATTCGAAGGTAGCAGGTCCGCGACAAGATTTACGTGATGGTGGCTTCACGACTTAACGATCATGTTTGAAATTGTCCAAAATGACTCCCAAAAGCTAAAGTTTGAAGAACCCTGGAAGAATATCTTTAAATATTTAGTTTAGCGAATTATTACTGTGATATCCCAGACTAACAAATAGATTAAGGGCGCTTGTGCACTACACTGAATTTTCAGGTCCGGCGGTCCGATTTTTTCCGGTCCGATATGTCAGGCCATATATAGGTAATGCTAGCCTGTGCACTGTCAGGAATTTTACCATCCGGGATTTTACTTTTCACTATTCCGGACCGGTTTTTTCAGGTCCGTGATGGCGGCAATGAAAAACGTGTTTACGCTTGTGCACTGCTGTGTCCACGATCCGGAAAATTCATAAGGATAAAATAATCGATTTTTATTTCGGCGATATTGTTAATATCCAATATACTTATAATCGATATTTATTGTAGACTATAAAATGCTATATTTTATATGATGATTTAATATAGTTGGTGAATATCACTGCATACGCTTTGGCAAACTCGATATAGTTCTAATTTGATCAGATTATGGTTCTAGTATCGATACTTAGTTAGATTTTAGAATCCTATTAAAAGTGTCGATAACTTAAGGTAAGATAAATAAGTGTTGTTACGCTTAGACGCCTAAAGGAAAAAACTGAACCCATCTTAAAGGAAATTAATATAGCAAATAAACTTAACCTTAAGAAAGGACATAGGCTACATTATATCGCGAAAAATAGGGGACGAAAGTTTACCTGGATATTTATCATTATCTAATTTTTTTAGACAATTGAACAGTATAGATAAATATTTGATAACAGAAGTAATAATAAAGAATAAACAGAAGATTAACAGAAGTAATTACAATGACACTCAATGACTTTTTCCCAGTTAAGTCTATATTGTAATAAAATTTGAAATGACTGTTAGTGTCATAAATAAATTTAAAAAAAAAAGAAGTATTCTAAGGGAAAAATATTTCTACTCAAAGAAACTATACCACGCATATAAAATCATGCCTATATATAAGTCAACTGATCTCGTAAAGTTCATTTAGCATACTAATTCTCATAGTTTACATAATGGCGCCAACGATTGGTCTATCTCTGTAATCGCTTAAAATTGTTTTTACAAAACTTCGATAAAAAAATAGCACGTTTCTAAATTTAAACATCAAGTACTAGACCATTATCAGTAATTTTATTCTAATGTCACAGATATTTTTAGCTATCGTATGTGAATAATGCTGTTCCTAAATTACTAAGGGTATAAGTTTTTACATCTGATAATAGTCATCCGATCGTAGTAAAAAAATGCTTTCGTCTTGCTTCAATTTATTATGGTTTATGTAAAATGATCAGGTCATCATTTAGGTACCTTTCTACGTCTTTGAACGCAATTAGCGACGTTCCAAAAATCTCATAGTACCTAGCGTAAGTGACGTGTAGCTTCAAAGAGAGCTGCCCTACACTGCACCGCTCCGATCAGGAAAAGACAAGCTACTCATCCGGGTTTTTCATGTCATTCCGGACCGGAAAAAATCGGACCGCCGGCCCTGAAAATTCAGTGTAGTGCACAAGCGCCCTAATACCCGGTTTCTAAATTGCAAATTTGAAGTTGAGCACGTCTCAAACCGTGCTTAAGCCATTTTAAACGTCAAATAAACAGGTTTTCATTACTGTTTTTTTTTTTAATAATCAGTTGATAGCAATTAGATAAAACTAGGACTTTTTGTCATATGAAACGTAAAAAACTTAAGTTATTGAGAATAATCAGTCGAGATTTTGTGCCTTTCTCAATTCAGAAACCGGCTGTTTATGTTAACTTTGTAAGTTCTTTGAAATTCATTAACAATTCTAACTGTGGCACTGGCGGCCTGACGTAAGCCCAGCAGCGCTACAGACTGTTTATGTCAGAAACTACATGACTATTCCTTATTTCGTAACGGACTGATTTAAGAGATTAAAATCAAGAATTTATTACAAATCCAAAAGGGTGGCACTGTCAGCCTGATGAGACGCTAAAAACTTTTGTACTGATATAAATAATTACAAATAAAATCATCAGGAAGTTAAAATTAAAATGCTGTATTTATATGTAAATTGTTATATATTCATTTTTATAAAAGGATTCAATTCTCACATAAATCACTAAAGGTGGATTTTTGCACTTTTCACCACATAATTATACTGTAACAATATTTTGACTTTAGAACGATTGTTAATCTTGGGAAAGTAAATGGTAGCAGTACTGTTATTAACAATAATTTCAATGTTTGTGACCATAATACTTTAAAACAACATATTTTTGACATTTGTATGTATAAATAATTGGCAATTTTAACACAATTACACACGAACTTCCACACTCAGTATTACCAATGAATAATGTATGTACACAATTATGTTTACAAGTGTGTGATAATTTCAGATCCCCAATAAAATATCATTCTTAATTTAACTATCTTCTTATTAAAAAATGCTTTTAATTCTGTGGAAATGCATTACCTTCAAAATCACCAGCCCTTTTACGTCCCCACTGCAGGGGCTCAGGCCTTCCTTATGGATGGTTAAGGAGATTACCTTACCATATCTAAGGTAATTAGTGATGTTATAATCTAATATATTTGACGCTACTTGACCATAAATGCTATTGCAGTAATTCCTTTATACACAAAAAAAATATAAGTGTAGTATAGACATGGTAATATCAGTTATATTTTTTTTTTCTTATAACCACAAAAATTAAGATATTTCTATTTGTCAGAGCAAAGTGGTGAGTTACAAATAATTGTATGAAGAATTGTCATACTAAATTTATTGCTAGATGCTCTATAATACTAAAATAGTAATGATAAATTATAGGTACATCAGTAGTAAAGAGCAATTTCCCTTTGAATCCATGAAATTATTAGCAGTCCTGACTAAACATAAAAAAAGTTCTTAAAAATAGTTTAATAAGGTCTATTATTCATATATGGTTGTGGTCGACGCATAGGAGGTGGCATTCTGTTAGGTGGTGTTATAGAAATATCTAAGTAATTACCAATTTGAAATTTAACTTGTGATAATGTTTTATTGTCATCACCACCTCTCTGCCCTGAGCAAGTAACTCCTATTTCTCTCATGCGATAAGTTGGCGACCGCATGTCAGGATATACAATTGCAAAGTCAAAGTATGTTCCTTTACGTCTTGTCTCTGGGTTTACTTCTTTCACAAGCCCTGTTAGTTCACGTAGGGTTGCATCCATCCACGTGTATATTTGTAACTCATTCTGAGGTACATTTCCTCTAGCATAGTCACCAGGAGAGTTATGACGACCAGTAGAACAAAACACTCGGAGTAAAAGAGGACAAGTCTGTAAAATACAACAGAATCAACGTTACGGACATTTTGTTTAGTAAGTTTTCAAAAATTTTAATTGTGTTATCTTTAACCTTTTCTCTGTCGACCGGTTTTTCAACAGTTTTTACTTCTTCAACAACCATTGACTCCAAGCCCGCCATTTTCATAATTCCACAGATATTTATTAATGTTCCTTATAATGATAAAAAGAGCACTAAAACTGATTGCGTTACTAATAATAAAAATTCACGGTAAAGCACTTCGTACTCGAATCAATTAAAGTCTATTTAGAATTAAAATCGTGCGATTTTTATTCTTAATAATGACAGGACTGACAGACCAGACACTAAAGAAAAGCAATGCAATCAGTGCTGCCAACTCTAAAAAAAATTTTCTGCTAAATAGGCTTTAAAAAAATTCCAAAAATATGCCAAATATTTGCTTTTATCAGAGAAACAGAATATTTATTAAAATATTCGATTTAAAAAATTTATTAATAACTACGAAAAAAAAAGTTCTTGTACCAAGATAGAACTATCACCAAAATGTAGTATAAGTTGAATGTAATTATTATATACCAACAATTTATTTTTGAAAGCTGGGAAAAGAAAGATAATCCTCTCTTAAATATGTCTTTATTTTTAAGAACGCAGTTTAAATTATGTTATTTTTGAACGCATCTTATCAATGATGTCATTCCTAGAGAAGTCCCTCTGTTTTCAAAGAACAAGATCGATTTTATTTTTGACTAATCTAATTTTATACAACTCTTATATTATTTACTAACCATATAAATCCGTGAAAATTATAAAACTTAGATAAGATTACAAATATAATTAGATGTTACTTAGAGGAAAATAGTTTATTTATAATGAAATTAAAAACAAATGATTATTCATAAGAATCGATATTACAGTATTCAACCAATTGCGACCTCTCTTTTTAGACAAGTATGTGTAGACGGTTTCTACGCAGACCGTTTTTATAACTTTGGCGGTGATTTTCTATTATCTTCTGTATTATGTGGAGCATACTAGGCTCCATGGACAGTATAGAATTGAGGTCTGGAGAGAAATACCGGATTCTCTGGATTTATTTGAATTATACTTAAATAAAAATAAAGTCTTAAATATAATAATACTCTTTGGTCTTAATTATAAGGGGTAAAATTAAGTCGAGACATTGGGAGGAAATAATATTATGTGTACATTTTAAAGAATAATGACACATCCGGGTTAGATGGCATAAGAGAACACTGCTGTAATTGTCTTATTGGTCGATGTACACTGGGATGCTGTGCTCATATAATGACCATAGTTTGGTATCTTGGATGGGCCAGACACGAACAGAATGTAGCTGCTCCTGCAGAATTCCGTGATGAGGTATTCATTACAGTTGTAATAAAGAAAAGAAAAATCAACATGTTGTTTTGCTATATCCTTAGTATTAGTATTTATATTAATTAGTATTTTCACTACTACTTCATATAAGTTATAGTGTAAGATAGAAAAAAGAAGAGTTATTGATAGCAATCTTAAAAATTCTATTATTTTTTTTCTGTTCATTTGTTCACAAAAAATGATTTTATTTCTTACAGTCAATAAAAATAGCATATCAGATATGGTGCAAGTTTGAAGTATTATGTGAAAGTATGCACTTCTAGGACTACAATTAGGCATTATCTGACGTGTGATTTACATATTTCAACTGTAATACCTCTAACTCAAAATGCTACATTTTAAATAATACGACATAACCTCAAAAACATATTACATAATTACTCGATACTCCCAGCTTTTAAAAATATATTTAATGTCTTTCGTTGTTCTAGTTGCACAGGCAAACAAAATAACATATGCTTCATCAAGCTACGTTTAATTCGATTTTACTAGTCCAAGCATGTTAGGCAGATGGCCATTGTTCTTTGGTCATAAAAATGCTAAATAGGCAGCACTGAATGCAATGCAATATGTGGTAGTAAAATTAGTGTCCTTTTATCCCAATGTTGCATTCCACAAAATAGATATTGCGTTGAGAGATTTTTTTTCATTTTTGTACATGTTATGTTCATGGAGGGATACAAATTTCCAGATATATGATTCGATAAGCTTAGATTACAATTCTATTAAATCATTTCAAAAAATTGTTTACACGTATTGATTGTCATGAATTGATCTCCTAGAACAGCATTTCCCAAAGTGGGCCTTAACGCCCCCTTGTGGGCTTTATGACAAAATATCAATAATCATGTTACTCTTAAGTCTGACGGCTAATTTGCTACATAGCCACTTAAATACCAGCTGCTATACTTCACTGTTCTCATTTAAGCTATCTAGGTATTAAACAAATTTATGAGTACATGACTAACTTAAATGATGTTATTAAATCATTTAAGTTTATTACAATAAAAAGTGTTCATCGTAAAGAACCTAAAGAAACAGAGTTGGATAGTTTCGGCACGATTCTCATAACACTTTAACTCCACCAAATTTAAAACGTTGCCTAACCCGTTCAAACGTTTCGGCAGTACAGCTTTTTAATTTTGTCAGACTATTATTTATTCATAATTGTTAAAATCATAATCTGGGATTGTCATCCATTGTGAATGCTACTGCCTTTCTTGTTGTTATGCTGTTTTCCGCGATTAAGTTGTTATTGTTTTATTTTTGTTTTGTTTTTGTTGTTAGGGTTTGTTCAATATGGACGATGCCGGTCTAGACCCGACTGGCCTACAAAAATTACACTCTGAGCCCCCATACCAACCCTCAACCATTGACATTTCAGGAAGTTTTTTTCAATGTCTTCATCAATAGTCTAACTAATTAGAATTTATTTAACACTAACAATTAGAATTCATCAAAACAACAGACAAATAGTTTCAGTTTTAGTTCCATTTTGGCTTGGGAGTAAAAGATGAATTTATAAAATGCTGGTCTCATCTCAACCCCGAGGTATCGTAAAAATGGAAAATTGCCCAGCTCCTTCAGACTACCTAACGTTCAAAGTTTTTAACAAAACTAATATATATTTTTTAAATTTATCTTGAAAATAAAATGTTCTGCATTGCTGCTTCTATGACCCTCTTTTTTCTAATGTTATAATGAATGGAGTATAGTTTCAATACTCAATATACAACTCATATTCTATTTGTACTTTTTCGTATTTGTATTCATATCTAAGTATCAAATTTTTCAAATTTCAGTTTTTTAATATGTTAGTTAAAAGGAACGGAAATTACTGCCTTTGGCCCATTCGTTTCCTGCAAAAATCAACTTTTTCTAGAGTCGCCATCTAGTTGAGGTGCTTTTTTGTTGCTTTCTTTTTTTTTTAATACTTCCTCATCTTACTTGTTGAGTAAGATTAAGAATTGAATGAGATAAACGAGTTTATGTATGTTTGATTTATTCCTGTCGGTGCGTGCTGCTTATACAATCCTATAGGTATATACAACGTTGTGACGAGACCGGCTATATCCCGTTGCATTAGAGATTGAAAAAATATGTCTTCTCAAAACGTTCAAAAATCGAGCAATTAGACTAGGAAAAAGATAAGAAAAAAACAATATAAGCCGCCTTACCTTATACTTTAACTTTAAAGATTCGTCCCTTTCCACGGTAAGCGCTGCAGCCACATAATTTCACAAATATAGTTTCTTGTTGATTTAACCGAAGCTTTTTAAAAATAAAATTATATCATACTTAGACGTAAGCGAGACTTCGAATTTCCAGTATAATGATGTAATCTTTGCTTCGAATTTATTTATTTATAATTTTTTTTTTTTGGCCCCACCCGACTTGGGTATTAGCCATGACAGATATAAAAAGGTAGGGAAACAATTAGGAAAGGAACTCGGATATTTATAGAACTTAGTATTTGGGTAGTGAAAAGGATAAAGGATAATAAATTGTCGTAATATATAAAATATTTATATTTTTATGTTATTTTTAGTTATAAAACATGCTAAGGAGTGATAAATATTTTTATCGTTAGTACATAAAAGAAATAATATGGAGGTAGGAAGAGGAATGCGGAGAGATAATAAGGAATTATAAAAGGAGGAATGATCATATAAAGGACAAGAGAAAAATATATGATTGATGTCTCCCACTCCGGTGCTTTGCTTCGAATCATGCCAGTTGTTTGTTATAGTGAAGTGCGCCACTGCGCACACGCAGGTTTTATATCGATTAATGTCGATCGACTTTGTGAATTGAGAAATTCCCTAAGCAACCCAACCCAAGTTATTGGCTTGCATGGAGTCTTCCATACTAATTTCCTATTTCTCACCATGAATAACTGCCAAACGGTTACGTTTTGAAAAAACAGAAAATGGCAAAATTACGATACAAACGTAATATTTATTTTATTTTCATTTGCGGTTTCGCGCGTAATAGATAAGCAGTACCTACTTTAGTTTAACAGTTATTTACGTATTTCACAAAACAAAACAATATCGGAAATAAAAAAAAGAGACTGCTATGCTGTGCGGAATAAATTAAATGCGGATTCATTAAAAATCCCATAAAGCCATTGTCGCCTTTATTGCTTCGAAAAAACATTTTCGAAAGAAGCAGTGAAACCTTCAAACTCCAACAAAATTTGAATAAAATGCACCCAGATAAGAAAGTAGCATATTTTCAAGACTTAGAGAAAAAGTATAATACTCAGCCAAGTTTAACAAAACTATTTTCGGCATTATGAAGCATTGTCTTACTTGAGCTTTATTAAAGATGAGAAAATATGTGAAGAACTATTGTTTGCTAGAAATTTAGAGACCGATACAAAAGGCGAAACCATATTCGTTTTGTAATGAGAAAGAGATTCCCTTGAAAACTATTATATCAATTGCTACGGATGGCGCTCCGGCTATGATAAAGTTGCTAGAAACTTAAGTGAACGACTATTTCAATCACAGCAATATGTCAGTAAAGCAGTCAATAAAATCCGCAACAGCTCTTTGAATGATAGATATTTCATCAACTTTGTGTTACTAATGACGAGAATTTTAACCGATTGTTGTTTCAAACTAAAGTTCGTTGGTTATCAAGAGGCAACTGTATGACTTGATGTTACAAACTGTTTAACTCTGTGATAGAGTTGTTGGAAACTAAAGATGCAGAATTGCACAACAAGCTCATTACATTAAATAATGATATGGCTTACATGACAGACCTGTTCAGTTTTATATACTAACATATTAAAAACAGAAATTTGCAAAGTTCGAAACTTAGATATCAATTCAAATACGAAAAAGTACAAATAGAATATGAGTTGTTTATTGAGTTTTGAAAACTAATTTACTTTTATACATGAAAAAGAAAATCGGAAGGTATTTTCTTGATATCATGAAGAAATCAAGAAAGCACCGTAGTGACATCTACTTTAATATCGAGAACTATTTTTTTTAAATACTTCCTCATTGTTATTCATCCTTTTTTCGTTATCGACTCACACTTGAATCAAATCGAGTTATGCTCTACTCAGTCGTAGAATGGCTTGATTTCACCCCATCACTTGTGACTTTGTTAAATGTCAAAAGTGACAATTTTCATCGGCGGATTGTTATTGATAGAATAGATGTATAAATTATTTTACTGAAAAGTCGAATCTTGCTTGCCTCATTATTGCGGTAGTGTATAATGCTTTGATTGAAAAATATATAGTTTAAACCCTGTATCATGGCTCGTAGAGAAGATGAATCGTTTCAAGATGAAGATGTGTATATCAATCCAGAAGACGGTATGCCCAATATTCATCCTAATATCGCTAATATAGAACATGAAAGCGATGGTACTGATGAAATCGACGATTTTGACGATTTGCCTAAATCAGTTATAGTGACTAATGTTCATAGCGACGTTTTCAATGATGAAAAACTAAAGAAGGAGATGGAAGACCTTTTCCGTACATTTTCGGAGAACACAACATTTCAGTGGCTTCGTAGCTTTAAACGTTTACGTGTTAACTATGACAGCCCGTTAGCAGCCGCAAATGCTCGTATTCAGTTACATCAATATAAATTTCATGATAACCGCATTAATTGTTACTTTGCCCAGCCGGTTACTCCAGTGTCGCTTAAGAATTTAAGGCCACCGGCGCCAGTTAAACAATTCCTTATATCTCCACCTTCTAGTCCTCCTATTGGTTGGGAACCTAGAGAAGAAGGTGAACCGCTAGTGAATCATGATCTATTAGCTGCACTTGCCAGTTTGTCACCAGGAGAGAGTCACGAATTGCATGCGCCGACACCGACCCAGCCAGCTATCATTGTTCATACAGCTTTGGCACTGGAGAACAATGATACAGTAAAAGTAGGACACTCAATTCCTCATACTCGCTGTCCAAATCATTGATACAATTTTGCCCATTTGAGTATAAAGATGAATAGCTAATTTATAAATTAGAGTATAAGAATGGAGCTTGAAAGTTACTCACATGTCAATTGTAGTGACCTGTGATGCCAAAGAACTGCAATTTTTTTTATTTAACAAATTTTATGCTTATATTATGCAGCCATTATTTTTAATCACTCATAAGGCAACGGCATATTTTGTTTATAATGCACTTAATTCAATTGGTGCTATATTTTTAAAACCCTTTGATGAAATTCTATGTATGTTATATTTGTATTATTGAATTGCTGATATTGTTATTAGTTTATTAGTGTAACATTATTTTTATTTTTTTTATATTAAAAATTTATGATTGGTTGGTTATCCTTAAATACAGTAAAAAGATATTATTGATGGTCAATATATCACTATTGTAATTGATAATTTTAAAATAAAGACATGACTTTGACAACATAAAACTGTTGAACTAAATGTAGATATACATTTTTTTTAATATTCTTAAAAATACTACTCAATTTATATATTTTGTTATAAAAAACAAGAAATTTGTCCACCCAATGGTTTTACTGTACCATCCATGTTCATTAAATAGGAAAAAAAACATTTTTTTTTTTAGAAAATTTGCGATTGTCTGAATAGACATAATGAAAACAAAAAACCTTACCTCACTTACTTTATATTTGAAATATAATATTATTTCATACATAAATTATCTACTAGATATTTTTTACTATTTAAACTAAATGTTTATTTAAATAAAGTTAGTAAAAGTGGACAAACTTAATAAAAAAAAATATCATAACAATATAATTTTATTACCAAAATAAATGTTACATTAATGTAATTATAATATTTTAAGCATGAAACCATTGGGACTGCTTGTAATTTTTAAATATTATGTATTTATTAATGTCTAAAGATGTCAACTCATGATCACCATAGTATCGACATTAGATACATTTTTGTATCATAATATTTTATAAATGGTTGCTTGATTTTACCATTGTTTTTTTAAATAATATGTATTTCTGAAAATATTTTTAAACTATTGCAAGAGACCCGAAATATTAAATTCAATAGGAATGGCTTGTTATGACTATGAGTAGTAAGATTGCGGTCCAGATACATGTTAAAGTTGGTACCAGCTAATTAATGTTTTGAGTGATATGAATGCATGCATGCACACTTAGGATGTTTACCAATAAATAAATAAAATCGGAAATTTTCACTAACTGTTATTAAAATTCATCTCCTGTAACTTGTACAAGTGTGCGACAATATTGTGAAACAGGGCCTTTATAGTTTAAAAATTTCGTTCATAACTACAGAAATTGAACGTGTCTAACGCGCGGGCACAGACAATTTGCTCTATTAGCCACAAACAACGTACAGACACAAACTGGACACGGTTCGTGTCTGCGGTCGTGTCACTATAGATAGATTAAAATCAAAGATTGTATTTATATCAAAGTCTACTAGTAGTATTATCTATATAAGAAAATAAATAAGACATTAAGAAGAATAGTATTTTGTCTGTGCGCCAGCGCGTGTCTGGAGTTGTTTAATAATTGCTGGTGAAAATATTAAGGTACAATTGATTTACTTGTGATCTGTCTTTCGTTCGTTCGTTTCGTTCTTTACGGTTACGTATTTTATTTCAGTGATGCTTTATTTATTTGTTTTTATTTACAACTTTGATTGTAAAATGAAAAATATAGTAATAGATAATTTTGTGATAAAAAGTGAAATCGTTACATGTAACTATTATTGTTAATATTATTGTAAATACTTTAACGAATTATTTTTGCATCAAATGAAAATTAGAATAAATAACTATATTTCTCCAAACATTAATAAACTCATACATTCTAATTAACACTTGCCTAACTAAATTATCTTAAAAATGTCAGTAGTGTCACCTATGTAATTGAAAAGTAACATTTGAATTATAGTAAATTTGTTATTATTAAAATTGTTTGATGTTCTGTGGACCAATATTTAATACTTTTGGCTATATTACTTTCTGAGTCCCATTTACTTACACAAACGATTTCAAATTACATAAATGTTTACCTTTTTATCTTTTGAGTGATGTTTTAATTAGTAGGCACTTGAAAACAATATTTATGTGTTCTCTAACACCCAGTTGCACAACGACGATTAAGGTTTACTGAAGCCTAAGTTGTAATGAATGTTCTAAATTAAATTTGTAATGGTAACGTCGCCTAAACTCGTGACAATTTTAATGGACGTATGTCCAGCCCTACGATTCTGTGAAAATCGAAACCCGAAATCGAATTCACTCCAAAAAGCGGCATCCCCTCAATCTTGAATTGGTATTAATGTATCGTGTCATGAGTGAAGTGAGTTTCAAAATGATATAGGATTAGAATATCTGAGACACGTATAATCAATCAATTTTGTTTTGTATTTTTATACTAAAAGTGAAATCAATAGAATTTCTCTACTAAATGAAGTGAATTCGAATTCGGGTCTGGATTTTTACAGAATCGCAGGGCATCTGGGTGAAAATGTAGCAGATTATATGTGCTCATTATTATTACACAAAATAGTTAGTATGTTATAGTTTAAAATCTATGTAATGACTAAATGATAGTTATAAATAATGCACCTAAGCAAAAAATAACTAATCCATTTTTTACAGAATTAATGCATCTGAAAATTCTGCAAGGTTGCGCCTATCTATTTGTCATGCTTGTGTTCTGAATAAATATGATTTCAATTTTATCATAGATGCAAAATTTATGATTAATTATGTTATTTTACTATAATAAATCGTCTAGATTGATAATGTAATGTTTTCTGTGCCTTTTTGTATGGTTAGTTTTGATATGGTTACTTTCGGTGTATACTTTTGTACTTTGTATTCTATTTGATTGTATCGCAATGTTTGTCTATAAATGCGGCTTGTAAATTGAACCAAATGGGTGAGTCGTCCACTGTACTGCTTTGGACACGGCAATGGGCTGGGTCTTATCCCCGTTCCGGTTGACCCGAAAACATACTACTTCGCAATTGCTAATTTGGTTCAACTTATGTGCCGCACATTTATTTATAGTCTACTTACAGACAGTGTGGCTTCCCGGACCATACGCATTCAATTGTTCGGCTTAAGAACATACTATTTTATTATTAAACCAAGTCTTAAATTTAAGACCTGGTTTAAACCATCGGGATAGTGGTCATTTTCGGCGCAAGTCCGCGTATTTCTAGTATACAAGATAGTTTAGCTTCCTGACCATATGCAATGCATTATTCGGTTTAAGCCCAAATAGTTTTATTATTAAACGAGGACTAAATTTAGTACTTGGAGTAAGGTAATGCTCTGAACCTGATTCTAAAGTTAGTTCTCGTATTATAATTCCTATTATAATACAATACGAATATCATCCTTGGTGTTCCTAAGTTTTATTGTAGCTCTGTCTTTCTGTCACTAGGAAGATTAATTCTGATGTACCAGTGAGTCAAGTCGGATAGACTTGACTCGACTTCAGCAAATACAGAAGTATGACGATATGAGTTGCAATGGTAGTCGCACGGTCTTAGTTGTAGACGTCACGCTTCTGAGTGTGTTAAGATTTCACAAATAGAGACCCAGCTTACAAATATAACTGTAGTTCATACTTACACACTCGTGTTTTGATTTCTATAGGCAAATCATTTAATAATAATCTCGAGTCTAGTCGAGTCGATCTGATCAAATACAATGGTGATGTTGGAATTGTAGAAGTTATCAGGAGTGCTTTTTAATTATATGCACTATGCACATAATTATTCGTGAATGTACGTTATTGGTATGCTTGTTCCTGTACGATTTTACTTGTTTGTTTTTTTCTTCTCAATACCTATTGACATGTTATTTTTTATATGTTTAATTGATTATGTAATAATAAACGAACATTGACCACTATAACAAATGATATTTTCTCTAATATATCTATCTAATGTTATTGAAATTAAAACTTGCCTATGTAAATATCTTAGGGCAAAGTGATTTTCTGATATAGTAGATGCATAATCTGTTACTACAATAGTCCATAATATTCGGACACGGTTTCTTCTATTGATGTTTCTAATCTCACTGTGATTTCGATTACTATTGTATGGTGTAATTATAAAACTATATTGAGTTTCAAACTTGTGTTTTGTATTTAAATATTTAAATGCATTAATTTACCTAAAAATATGAAGTAATTCTTGTTAGTTTTCATGAAAATCTGCTTAAATGATACATTTTGCATTGTACCTACTCAATTTCGTGTTATTTACTTCATATCTTTTATGTAGATCTTGCAAAGAGACTGCCCCTATGTAACTTGTTTTGGTTTCCACCTTAGCAATTTTATTTTAATGTTATGGCAATAGTTATATGTGATTGCATTTTTCTTCAACTTGAAGGTATCCATGTTGGATATGAATACAAAAATAATGTTCAGCGACTTATTAAAAACATTTATAAACAGGCACCTATTAAGCATATATGACACTAAGTCAAGTTATACAAAGGTTATCAATTTTTTTACTTGATTTTAAATCTTACGGTACAGTAGAATTGAAGATCAACTTCGGAAATAGTTTATATTGTTGTAACCAACGTGTTACGCTATTATTGAAGGTACAGCTGTTTTAACTAAGATCGATAGGATTATTATGAGAGAAGTTGGTTGCTTAAAAATCTTTTTATTTATTACTCTCAAACCGTTACAATTATTGTAAAAAAAGAACTTTACTCTTTGATGTTACTTTCGGCTATAGAGTGATTCACATATTTATCAATTGTCTTTATCAAAAGAGTTCACACGGCTACACGTTAGGCTACCACAATATGTCAAATTGTCTCAATTAATTTTGAACTCTACCTACAATGCATTAAGTTTTTAAATCGAGTGGAGAAAACAGTTTTATAGGTATAGCATGATATGCTGATATGTATCTAAAAATGGTTAAACTTATATTTTCTTTTTTCTATGTAATTTTTGTTTATTTTTTTACTGATTCACATTTTTAATTTAAGATAGTTTAATACGATTATATTTCTTGGTTCAAATAAAATTGCAAAATAAAGTACCTACTAAATTTTAGTCTTGCCTTTTTGAGCACAAACAAAATCGGTAGGTAATAAGTTCAAATAATCTATTAAGCATGTAGTGTATAGGGATGCCTTAGGGCGCCATATTCATAATTCCGTCGATGAGGAAGATCCAGTGCCTCTATAATTTAAATATTGATGCTTTCAGTTCCCATTTCTCTTCGTCATCTGATTTTAGTGAATCAGGTAAAAATAGGACTGCTCGACAACTCTCTAATCTACCAATTTCTGACTACTGACTACCCAGTTCACGGAATGTGATGTTAAGAAAAGCATATTATCTATTAATTCTTATGCAGTTGGCGCTGACGGAATCGGTCGTAACATGTTAGTACCTACCTCTCCTCGTCATCATACTCCCTGTCTTTTCTATTATTTTCAATAAATTCATAGCTAAAGCCGTTTTCCCTTCCGCATGGAAAGACGCTCAAATTATTCATCTTCCTAAAAAAATCCCAACTTAAATCCTTCGCTAACTTTAGACCGATTTCCATTCTTCCTTTCCTATCCAAAGTTCTTGAGCGTCTTGTTCATAACCAACTCCACGGTCTTTTTAACCCTTTTCAATCAGGTTTCCGTCCTGGCCATAGTACAACAAGCACATTGTGGTAGAATAGATAAGTGATATCCCTTTTAGTGAATCAGCGAAAAACTTGGGAGTCATCATGGATAGTAATTTGGGTTTGGGACCCCAGTTGCAAGCGGTCAGTGTTAAACTGTATGCTTCCGCTGCATCTTTGAGGAGGTTGCGTGATTTCTTGCCGACTACCACTAAAATTGGTCTAACACAATCTCTGTTGCTTCCACTACTTGATTATACCGATATCTGTTATCTTGTTCTTACAGAAGACCAACTTAATAAACTTGAGCGACTTCAGAATTGCTGTATACGATTCATATTTGGATTGCACAAATATGATTATATATCTCAATTTCGCACCCAGCTCACGTGATTTCCTATCCGTTTTCGTCAGAATGCTCATATACTATCCCTCCTCTAAAAAATATTGTTTAATCCCCTTTACCCCGGTATTTGAAAAAGCGCTTTAGTCCTTTAAAGTATTCTACCTCCTGTAGTTTGAGATCATCAGAAAATCTGAATCTGAAACTGAAAACACCTCTACATAGCACCATCTTCTATGATGGTCCTTCAGTGTCCAAGCTGTGCGACTCTGGAATGCTCTCCCGACTTTATTAAGACGTGCACAATCGATAAATATCTTCAAAGATTTGGTGAAAAACCGCTATTTGTCCATATAACTATGCTGTTACAACAAGTTAATACATTCTCTGATAGACATTTACTATTAGCACACTACCTCCGGTATTTCTCTTCACAAAGTTTGTCTGGAAGAGATCGCTTTCAGCGATAAGACCGCCTTTGCCCAACCTAGCATTAGTACCAATATTGTTATCTTAATATTCATAATTATGTGTGAGCAATATAAAGTGTCCATTATATATTATTATTATTATGTTATGTATGTCATTGTTGTTAAACTATTTATGTATTTTTTTTTTATTTAATATAATTAAATATTTATGATTTAATATCTACTAAACTATTTTAGTTTGCACCTCCGTTTCCTGATTGTCATTTATTTCTCTCCATCCAAAGGTTGTCTGGTAGGTACGCTCTAAGCGATAAGACCGCCAATTGTTACACTGTAATATTAATATTTGTATATAAATTCCTATATCCTTGGTGTTGACAATAAAGAGTTATTCTAGTCTAAACTGAGAGAACTATACTTATACTTATGTAAGGAAATAACTGGACCAAATTAGGAGATTATAAAATTTTCTCGAAAAACAACAGTTACTTCTAAAACTCTGATATGGTAAAATTTTACGTCTGCGAACAAGGCCATATTTAGTAAGTAACTATAAAAATAAATATGTTTACTATAATGGTATAGTTTTGGAGTAATTAATTAAAAATAACTGTTTATTTGCTCCATTGTATGTGTCTTCCTATAAATAAAAATTATTACTATTTTTTTTATCTACCTTATTGCACTGTAAAAGTACCTAGAGATAATAAACTCTTCAGAATTGCTTCAGATTCAAAGAACGTTGCAGCATATATTATGGTTTATTATTGCATATTAAACAAAAAAAAACGATATAAACTAGTAAATATTTATTCTGTATTTTTTTTACAAAATACATTACGAACATATAAATATTCGTCTTTTTATATCACAATTTCAGTTATGTTTTTAGAGGCACTTATTAGATGTATTGATCCAACAATCAATAATAAACATCATTCTAACTCGGTAACTTATTTATCACAAAATAAAATCTATAATATATACATTTTACCATCCTTTCTCGTTATCTATAAATCAAACGATAATGAACTTATTTAATGAGCGAGGTATAAGAATTCGATATTTTTACAATGTACCTAGTAAAATTAATTTAAAAATGTTGCTCTATTGATTAAACTTTACAAAAAATTTATAATAATTTATCATATTAACTACTTTATTGTCCAGGTACAAAGCGACTACCTATTCACTTATTGATTATGTATAAGTTTTCGTCAAAAATTATGTTTTCTTGGACATATCGTCTAAAGGAAGCATTGATTCTGCAGCTTTATCATTTCTGGAACTGGTATTATTTTTCTTATTCTTTAAACAACTTGTGAAACATGTGTCGCCTTTTCCAAAGTTTTCTCCGTCTTCCAAAGATTGTGGCATGGGTTGGTTCATTGTTTCTGGTAGGAAGAAACACAAAAATCCAGACACAAGAGCGATCAAACCAAATGTTATGGCAGGAATTTTAGGGTTAAATGAATCGAGTAATGTGATCAATGGTGTCAAAGCACCTGATAATCTAGCGCACATGGAACCTAAACCCATTGCAGAATTACGAACGACAGTTGGGAATAATTCAGCGGAATAATTGTATATGATAGCGAAGGAACCAGCGATAAATAATTTTCCTGCTATCACTATCCCGGTAGATACAATCCCTCCTGCAGGTATGAAAGTAGCTCCGATACAACACAACCCACCAATAAGCATCAGAGACGAAATTAAGGGTCTCCTTCCTAAAATATCGAGGAAATATATTACAGCAGCATAACTAGGAAATTCGACAAATCCCATGATAGCTATTATTAAGTATGGATTACCTTCTAGTTTTCCTGTACTAAGGGTTAGACCATAATATGCAATTGAATTAGCAAACCAACAAAGGCAAACATTTAACGTCTTATTCCTCAGGTTTGGAGTTTTAAATAGATCTAATGTGCCAGCAGACGTAGCGGTTTCGGCGACGCCTCTAGATACTTCAACTTTTCCTCTAGATACAAGATCCGCTCTGTCTAATTGTGTATCAGACTTATTACATTTAAGTGCTTTTTCTACAATATCCACGGACTCTTTAACCCGTCCTTGAGCCCAAAGCCAACGCGGTGATTCATCCATAATCCAAATATGTGGAATGAGAAGAAGACTGTGAAGTCCATATATAATTTGAAGAGTTTTTCTATTATCTATAAGTGCCCCCCAACCAGCTACTAACATAATTCCTCCTGCAAATGCAGCCTGAAAAGTGACACCGCAAGCTGTTCTTTTGCTAGCTCCAACTAATTCCATAGTTAAAACAAAACCCGTGATGTACGATCCAGCTGATCCGAAAATACCGTACAGAAACCTAATGATCAAAAAAGACCAATATTCAGGCATAAATGCCACAAGAACTCCAAAAACTAGTTGTAATACCCCGGACCAACAGAATATTTTTTTTCTACCATATTTATCTGCCATTCCACCTAAAACGACGGCACCAGTAAACACGCCTAACATGTATACTGTTTGAGCTAAAGCCCCCATCCATCGACGGTCACAAATTAAGTTCCATTCAATGGATCGTGAAGAAGATCTGTAGGTTGTATCATATACCCATTTAGAACAAGATACTGTGTCGTTATCTTTATACATTAAACATCCATGTAGATCATTTGACGAAGTATGTGGAATTGCGTCTAAAATTGCTGATGAATTCCAAGAAGCTATAGACTCGTTGGTATCTACACCGTCAATCCAGCATCTGAAAGTAAAAGTAAAATTATTAGAACATATATTTTTTACGGTTGAATTAAAGACTTTTAATACTCTCTTTATCTATAGTAAATGATGAAATCTCTCTCAAGCTGTTCTAGAAATAGGTTAAAAATGAAATAAAATATACGAAATACGCCACTCTACACATTAGCTAACATTGTGCCGATTAGGATTGACCAATTTGGTAACCAACAAGTTGGCGCCAGATCTACCGAAGCAAACTGAAGGCAATCCTACATGTGGTTGCCTGTAGGATTGCCTTCAGTTTAATAAATCAGAAATTGAAATAAATTAAAATTAAAATATCTTTATTCAAGTAAAATATCTGTTTCAAGCACTTATGAATCGTCCAAAAAAATATTTTCTTCTACCACTTGTTCAGGACATCTTTTAGCCGACAAGAAGAACAAGCGAAAGAAACTTACCAGCTTTTTATCATTAGTAATGACATTTACATAAATAATGTCAATACCAAAATAGTAGTATTATAACAGTAATAAATACAACTTCAAAGTCTATAGGCCATAGGTTGGTACATATAATTAGTCGTTATAGAACAAAGCGAAGGCTATTTATTAATTTCATGCATTGCGGTCCTTAAAATATTAATCAACTAATTTTTTGTGAAGGAATCGTAATATTTTCTTTCGTCTTTCATGTTTAAACGTTTGTTTTTTTGAAAAATCTTTACCAATTTTTAATGACACATATAGCTATTATATTGAAATTAAAAGGAATATAAGAATAATAATAGAATTATAGATTCAAATAAAACGTCTTTTATTAAACAAATTTATTTAATAATAATATCGTTTCACGTATTAGTATTTAGTGTTAGTATACCGACGTTGTTACTTTTTCTTCAATATATAGCTGAATTAAAATTTTGATGATTATTTTAGATATATACAAAATAAATATACACTGTCTTCTTTATAAAGGTTGGGCAAACGGAAAATTCCTTGTACACTATTTTTAATGGCACTTATAAAAAATAGCACCTTTCTCAATTGCTACTAAGTATAAAATTGACACAGATAAGTGACATGTAATTTCTGCTTGCATTGGAAGCCTATACTACATTCATTATAGCATTAGACAGAATGAAAATAAGGTTCATTTTATGGTATACTTTGTGACAAAATGTCAACAATCATGTTACTCTTAAGACTAACGGCAATTTGCTACATATCCACTTAAATACCAGCTGCTATACTTAACTGTAGTCTTTTAAGCTATATATTAAACAAATTTATGAGTATTTGACTGACTTAAAACATTTAACAATTCTTACAATAAAAAGTGCTCATCTTAAAGAACCTAAAGAAGCAGGGCTAGATAAATTCGGCATAATTCTCATGTCACTATAACTCTACCAAATTTAAAATGTTGCCTAATCCCTTCAAACGTTTCGGCAGACAGCTTTTTAATTTTGTCAGATTATGATTTATTCATAATAGTAAAAATATGTAATCTGGGATTGTCATTCATTGTGAATGCCTTTCTTGTTGTTTGGTCATTTTCGGTTATTGAGCAATTACTGTTTTATTGTTGTTTCCTTATAGTTATTATCTTTATGTTGTTAAGTTTTGCTACATTGCGATTCCGGTGCAGGCCTGAGTGGCCTACAATAATTACACTCTAAGCCTCCATGCCTACCCTCAACCATTGACATTTCAGGAAGTTTTTCTAATGTCTTCATCAATAGTCTAACTAATTACACTTACAATCAGAATTTATCAAAGCAACAGATAGATAGTTTCAGTTTTAGTTCCATTTTGGTTTGGGAATAAAAGATGAATTTATAAAATGCTGGCCTCATCTCAACCCCGAGGTATTGTTAAAAATGGAAAATTGCGCAGCTCTTTCAGACTACATTATGTTCAAAGTTAAAAAAAAAACTAATTTATATATTTTTTAAATATCTCGAAAATAAAATGTTCTGAACTGCTGGATCTATGACCCTCTTTTTTTCTAATGTTATAATGAATGGAGTATAGACAAAAATATTGAAGATGTAAATAAAGACTACATTTAAGAACAACTATAAAGCAAACTAATAAATCATTTATTTATAACAATAGGATAATTTGATAGTATTTTAAACATTTTAGTTCCAAGGTCTAACCTTTTGATGATATATAATCAAAGGTGTATATAACCAATAATCAAAGGTCATTAGTTGAAATTACAGAAATAGAATATGTTTTTAGATTTCTTAAAATATTCGACGATTTCTTACATCAATCTTGTTGATAAATTATTATCAACATAGTTCACCCCATGTTGCTAAGCATATAAACACGATTTTTGTAGTAAATACTATTTATACTCAAACTTCAGAGATTAATTAAGTACCAAGTAGGTACCTAATAGACTGTGCAAATACGCTCGGTCAAGTTTAGATGTCATCACCAGAATTCGCTGAACTAAAGTAGGTTGGTATGCGCTGGTGCATATCACAAATTTATCAATATAGTCAATGTCTTGTGAGACATTATATCATTTCAGTCTTATATTTATTCGATGTTCTTAATAATAAAAAAAATCTAATGAAATGCTGTAAATTTACACTTAACCTACGTTTTCAAGTCCTATAAGAATGTTAGTTTACCTAATCCAAAAGTAGGTTAAGCTTATATTATACATCTGTATATAATAATGTAAGTATGTATTATAAAATCAATATTATGGATTTTGTCGATAGTTTACTTAGAGGTGTTGGTTTAGGTATAGCAATGTTCAGGTATAGCATTTGTTAAAGAACGATTAAATGTCTTTCTGATAATAAATTGAATTATATTCTGAAGAATATCAGGACAGATATACTATGATATAGTTTCGAAAAAGGCAAATAAATTCTGATTTCAAAATCGCTTAAAAACCAATCCTCTGACTAGATAAGTACCTAAGTACTACATAACAATATTTATTATCCACTTGGTGGATTTAATGACAAAAACGTTATAAGTAAGGTTTTGTTCAATCCTCTTTGGATAGAACTATGGCAGTGTGGTCTCCACTTTTGAGCTTTTGGTTAGTTTCCCTCTGCATCAATCCCGAGAAGTATATTTGTATAGTTTTGACAATGCTATTCATAGAGTTACTGAAAACCAACCATTATTGTCTTAGGATTTTTTCTCGATGAGTTCTAATGGAACCATTGTTTCAGGTATATCCGCAGTACTGTCGCTCTTTGGTCGACCAGTGCAATTTGTGAAACAAGTATCTCCAAGCCCAAATTTTTCACCATCTTCAATCGATTGTGGCAAAGCTCGTCCTATTGTTTCAGGTAAGAAGAAGGTAGAAAATCCTGAGAGTAATGCTAAAAATCCAAATATAATAGTAGGCACTTTAGGGTTTAATGTATCGAGTAAGCTTATCAAAGGTGTAAGAGCACCAGACACACTTGCGCACATACTTCCTAAACCTACTCCTGAACTTCGTATAACAGTGGGGAAGAGTTCAGCCGAATATTTGTAGATGATGGAATATGAACCAGATATAAAGAGCTTTCCGACCATGACCACACCAGTCGTTGAAGGCGATCCATGAGGAAGAGTTACTACAATTAAACAGGATATGCCTCCTAATAACATCATTGCACTAATCAGTGCTCTGTGACCGACTCGGTCTAGGAAATACATAATTATGACATAGCTCGGTAACTCTACAACGCCCATTAAAAATATGATGAAATAAGGATTGCCGTTAAGTTTGCCGGTGTTAAGTGATAACCCATAATAAACTACAGAGTTTGCAAACCAACATCCACATATGATTAGTGTCTTCTTTAGCATGTTTGAAGTTTTGAAGAGGTCTGATGTTCCAGCGGTATGTTCGTCAGTATATTTCGCACATGTGGCTTTGCAGTGTGAAACTAGTAAAGGTGTATCCAATGTCTCATTAGATTTGTTCATTTTCAATGCTTTCTCTATAATAGCGACAGATTCGCGTGCGCGACCTTGTGACCATAACCATCTAGGGGATTCGTCCATCAATAACCAGTGCGGAAGCAAAATTGCTGAGTGCAGCGCATAAAGTATTTGTAAATAGAACCTATTGTCTATAAGGTATCCCCAAGCGGCTATGAGCATTATGCCTACTGCAAACATGATTTGAAAAACGACACCGCATATTGTCCGTTTGCTTGGCCCAACAAGTTCCATGGTCAAAACAAAACCAGCTATGTATGCGCCAGATCCAAATATGCCGTATAAAAATCGGATTGCAACAAAAGTATAGTAATCAGTAGCGAAAGCTACCGAAGCTCCAAATATCAGTTGAAGTACTCCAGACCAAACGAAAGCCGTCTTTCTCCCGAATTTATCTGAAATCCTGCCAAGAGCAAGTGATCCAATAACAACACCAAACATATAGGAAGTTTGTGCTAATGCTCCCATCCATCGCCTGTTACATACGAAGTTCCACTCTATTCCACGGGACGATGAGTAGTACCGAGTGTCGTATATCCAGGATTGACACTGCACTACCGTTTTATTTGGTCCATATATCTCGCAGGAATCAAGTTTTCCGTGTTCATTCATAGGAATAGATTGTAATACAATTGACGAATTCCACAGCTCAGTGCAATTTAAGCTCTCTGTTTGTATCGCGCACCTGAAAATAAAACAGTAAGAGTTATGTACCTATATACAGTTTAATTGAATTATTTACGTTATTGCTATACTTAATAAAGTACTGTAAGTTGACAGTGCAGTTAATAACTATTAAATGAATGATTAAAGCAAATATTTTGGAAAGTAGTATTTTTTTAGTAAAACCAATAACTTAGGATAACAAAATTAGTCTAGTTAGTAATAATTGATGTGCAAAACTATACATAAGACTAAAGTGGTAAACATAACCTAAAGAGTCAACATTAATAAATACGTGCTGCATCAAAATATATTCATGCAATTAGGACAATTCTTAATAAAATTATAGGATATATTATACATTTTCTATCAACTGTGATATTATGATAAAAATAAACTAAGTATATAACAAAAACCAAGCATGAGAGAGCCTTTACCAACCACAACCAGCTTGAAATTTATTTACATAGGTTAAATAAGTTAAAAGCACAGATAAACTAATTTATATAAAAGTATACTTACGATCTGTATAGTTAAGAGATATTCCATGATCAAATCACTGTATCCGAATAGTTTAACCAAAGCCGTGTCATCAATATCGTACATCTCAAAGAATACCCGTATAAGCAAAACTTAAGCATGTGAGTTAAAGCCACCGTTCCGCACCTATTGAAGTATTTTTTAATACTTATAATATTTTATTACTTTGTTACACATACACTTATTTTCTCATATTTGTTATGGGAAAATAAGTCTGTAATCACATATTTTTTTATTAAATAGACTAGTACACAACTTATGGGTAAAAATATTATATTCCAAATTCAACGATAACCATTTTTTGTACAGATTAAGTATATACTGATATATTCATTTCCGGATAAATAAATTTAATGCCGCGTCCGCACGCTTGCCAAACCTCAACAAGCCGCAGCAAACTCAAACGTGTGGATAGAATGTTTGCCTTGGTTTGTGTTGACTTGTAAGTGTTTGTAGACAATCCGATCGAATGTCGGTTTTTTGTCACAAATCAAAGGAAGTTTGCGCCAGCGCTTGCGACGCGTCCACACGTTTGCGCGTATTCAGTCTCGTTTGTGTGCTGGTGGTGAGTAGATGTGCGCTTGTATTGTGTAAAAACATGAGTGACTGGTCAGGTGAAGATATTTTAAATTTTCAGGAACTTTACCAGGCAGGACCATGCAAAAATAAACTAAACCAAATGTTATGGCCGATATAACCTCAATATCCATCACGTCCGTTATGCTTGGCCCTTCAGAACACACTAAATCACTCGCTAGCGTAAGGATGGCGATGTTTGATTCCCTAAATTAAGCCAAACGTTTGCAGAGGTTTGGAGTTTGCGGCAAGTGCCAAACGTGCGGTCGCGGCATAAGATTTTCTTAATCGCAAAACCCATATTGTGTAATTCATTCATGCACATGCTTGCTTTAACCCACTTATAGAGTACCACCCCTTATTATGTAACCATCAACAATAATAAAAACTTTTCAAATAAATGTTGCCAAAGTTATAACAAAGCCTAATAATTTAAATATATACTAATAATATTAAATTATTACTTATCTTATTCTCATTTCCTTACTGAGTCTAAAATTACTTGATTAAGACTTTACAAGAAAGATTTTAAGAGTCATATATAAAGTGACATACAAAGAAAGTCCTGTTTGCTTTTTAAACATAGCAACATTTATTTATCGAAATCTCAAAAAAATATAATAGTAATTATGTACATGTTAAAAGATATTTGTGCGTACACCCGTTAATAATTAACATGAGTAATAATTTTGAGATCCACATTTGTAATTAAAAAAGCTTTTTCTTCTACTAAAAATTATGATGAACTAGTGCGAGTCGATATTATGTACAAAATAGGTTCATTTATATTTAATCGTACTCTACATCGCATTGCGTATATATTGGACGTTACATTAACATCTCAACGAGTACTCATCAACATGGCAATGGCAATAGAAAAAAGTAAAGAATAAGGGAAAAGAGAGAGATCAGATAGGCAGAAAAGGAATCGACGAACACTGAAGTTATAATACTAACACGACACACACTTGCTCATTTTAATCCCTCTTAAAGACCTAAAGAATGTGTATACACGATTGCACGCCAGGTTACCGCAATATGTCAGATTTCCGCAATAGATTTTAAAATTGTACCTTCTATATATTAAGGTTTAAAATCAATTAGAGAAATTTGAGTCTTGCATAACCTGAAGTGCCATTAACTGTACCCAAAAATACCTATACCGGCAATAATTTCTACTTTATAAGCGATTTATTAAAAAAAGATATTTACCTATGGTCAGGCACTGCGGCGACTGTGACTAAGGAGAGCATATGCATTCCTGCTGTCATAGCGGCTAGTATGTGCAGGATGAATTGGAAACATTGGTACCGCCCGAAGTCTCCTGGAAACCAAACAGAAACACACGTTAAAATAATAACTATAATATTTTTTATTGTAAAATATATAACATTATTAAAATATTTTTGAGGAAAGGGGTAGGTAGTAACTTTAAAATCATTAAAAATATTTTTATTATATGTGTAAAAATTTACGGTTTTCGCAATTCTTCCTTTATCTGTGCAACAAGACGTTACTTTGGGTATGTTCCGATATACACTGCGACCACTGAACAGTATGACGTCAATTTAGCATACTGGAAGCCCGTTCCTTTATAGCTAGTTATACTGGTGACTTTTTAAAACGGAACGCAATCCAGTATACTGTTAATCCTATTTTTGGCGCCATATTCAAATTTGTTAATGCAAGGTGAATATAAATATAAAGATTCCCTCTTTTCAAAAGAAAATTAGAAAAAAAATATTTATCAATTAAGTCTATCTTATAAATAAACGTAAGTATTTTTTTTTGTTTATTTAGAAACTTATCATTTTCTGATTCTGTTTCGACTAATCACGTGATCAAAAGCACTGCGAGCACCTTATCTCGAAATCTCCAGTGCTCACAGTACAAATATGGCGGCAATTTATGACGTCATAGATTTCCCTAGGGTACTGTAGCAGTGTACTGGCAGTCCATAACGGAACGGATTTTTCAGCAGTAAGACCACTGCGCAGTGCTCGCAGTGTATATCGGAATATACCCTTTATAGTCTGAGTTAACAGGAAGATTTTGTAGGTTGGATTCCCTTGCGAGTTTCGAAAAGAATCATGTGATATATATCTCAAAATATAGCTTATTATTTATTTATTTCATATCAGGAAATTAAATCTTATAACCTGAAGTGCAGCTATGTGTACTATAATAACTATCCGAATGCGATTCGGATCCAAAGACGATTGCTACATCTACTACGGAACATTCTTTTGTCATAAGGTTAAAAGGCACATACACAATTACATTTTTTATATATTTCCATATTTACGAGTCAAACTATAAAAAGCTTTAATTTATTTGCCTAAATTTTGATATGTAGCTTCACAATTATCTCGAGTTTTGACAGCTATTCTAACCTCAAAACGTTATTTACAAATTACGAGCCTCCTAGGCCTCTAAATAAAAAGACGCTGAAATATTATTATATTTTAAGCAAAAACTAATTTATATTATCACTAATGGTGGGTCGCCTGATTTTTAATGACGTCGGTTAAAAAACATGTGACAGGTGAATCGATGTATGGAAAGTGGACATGATTGTTTGCGGAAATTTACGGCATAAACGGCTGTATATTTTGATTGCGTTGGCTTAGAAGTTTGATTTTGAAGTATTTGACATAAATTTCAGCTTGATACCTCCACGCGTCCCTGAGAAAAAGGGTATTAATAGACAAAATTGATTCTATAAGGGATCCGTTTTTTTCTTTTCGAGATACGGAGCCCCAAAAACAAGAGAAACAAATATATTTGTTTAATCTTCGAAGAATTAATTGGCACGTACAAAAGAAATCAGCCAGCTACCGATTTTTAAATGAAAAAATCCACTCTAATGGCGACGTATACCAAACTCATCTTTGACTAAAGTGATTTTAAACAATGCGCATTATTGAAAACCTTTTGTTTGGCATGTATATTATTGCTTGTAATTTTTGTATTGTAGACTGTCGTTGAATATTTAAAGTATGAATAAAGACTAGTATTAATGTTGACACAGATGTGTGCGTGAAGTGTGTAACCCCGATCGAGGTGACCGATAAAGCTCATCGATAACGAGGTATCGAATGCGTCGTCCCTCGCCATTACATTTACATCGTAATATTGTAGCAAATTTGATTGTTGAACTTTTTGTATATAGATAAGTGAGTACGTACGTACTCTAAAGTTTCTTAATTTAATTACATACGACAATATCGCAAAATGTCGTACAGAAAGATAAATAATGCACGAAATATTTTAATAATATAACATGATAGATTTTCTTATTCAGCTATTTATAGATATTTAATCATTACTTTATAATAAAAAATGTGAAAGTAAGATAGATGGAGTACTCTTTATTGTTTTCACCCATACACAAATTATTTCAGTGTGTCTTACGTTTTTACGCATAAACTACTAAGCTAATTTTTATGAAATTTGGTACACGGCTAGAATGGACCTTAGAAAAGGACACAGGAGTTTTTAATAATTATAAATAGAATAATTATAATAGGGTTATACGAAGAGCAATAATAACTAGATAAAGTCCTAGAACGAAGAAGAGTCTTTGCTTGAGGAAATAACGTTTTACTTGTATCATAAAACAGTCCCGCGACTGCGTGCGTCTAATATCTTTAGAGTCATGTAAAATTGCAACTATTAACACACAAAATAATAAGTAACGAATGAAGTCTTATTAAGTACCGAGTTAATAAGATTTCACTCGTATTTTTACATTTATTAGATATATTTTCGACACGATGTTTACGGCATATTCAATAATTCACATACGGTTCAAGTTATTTATTCAAAGCCTATTTAAAATACACTCCTTAACTTTTCTAACTCATTAATTAAATCGACCATTGGTAAAAGTGGATTAGAGACCAAAACTTTTTTCGGGATTTTTCGAAACAAAGTGGTGAAATATACATAGTAGATAATTATTATATTATTGTTGATACTTCGTGAGTGAAATATAATTAAATATTAAAAACTCGAGAGCGCGTTTAATTTTGATAACTGCAATCTGATTGCAGTTCCGATGGAGTCCTTTACTTTCCCAAAACTATAAGCTGCTCACTTGAAGCGTAAGCCCGCTCGAAGCTAAATAAACACTTCAGTTGTATTACTCTTGATAAAAAGTCGTAGTCATGGGAAACACTATTAGCGGATTTTTAGTGCAGTCATATAAAATATTTCCAACAGCTGATTTTAAGCTGATTTGACAGTCTTGTCGGTTCTCCTGTATAGTTACTGTACTAAATTAGACTTCCACGTTATAATCCTGTGGTCATCAGTGACTCTATCGCGTAACTGAAGATTAATATGTTACAATGAAGCCGTGAATGATATAAACAATATTATATTAAAGAATTTAATAGAAATATAGAAACATATAAACACTATTAAAGAACTTACTAGAAACATAATCTAAATCCACAGATCCAAACCATAAAGTAATACTAACTAAAACCAAAGATTTAAACTGCTTGTTTACCATTAGCGAGAGTTTATTATCTAATATTAAAAGAGACGTATAAAAAATATAATTCACGGCTTCACACGCAGTAGAATCGCAGCTCCAGATCTGATGATGGGATCCTGGAGGAATCTCGGTAACGAAATAAAATTTATTTATTTCGAGGATAAACATTAAAAATACGATTAACAAGTGTCGTCGGTTAAAATTTAGAGGCAGTTTTTTTACGTTGATAATTTATAAAAACAATGAAAAATTAATCGAAAATGAACTATTGCTATTTGCAAATGAATAATGCCTACTTGCTTATGTGAGTATTCCCATAATATCGCCAATTGCCATGATCACTGACTGATGACTAGAAAACCGGCATACTATCGTTTAGGCATAGTAATCAACCACTTTACTCAATCCGTCAGTGCGTTTAAACGGGTAACTACTTAACTCTTCTGTGTTTTTACTAGTTTCTTTGTTCGCTGAAGTTATTGATATTTGTGTCATAAAGATAATAATGAAAAGCGCGGTCATGGTCAAATAGCTACACAGCTCTTTTAGACACAGCAACGCTTAGATTCTATGATGTATTTATTTATTCTATTAAAAAAGATATATTTTGATGACTTTAGTAATTTTTTTAGGTGTGCAAAAAAATTACTGATCTTCGACTTACAATTTTTATGGGACCAACTTTATTGTACCCTTTTGAACAAAAAAGCATTTGAAGTGTACTTATATATAAAATATGTAGAGTTATCGACATTTCTCCAGGATCCTATCATCAAGATTTTGACCTGCAGTTATACCGCGTAACTGAAGCTCTGAATAATTGACAGATCAACTGGCGGTAGACCAATCAAGATCGGTCTGTCCAACAATCACGTGGAAGTGTACTCTTTTTGTAAACTAAAGAATATTTCCTAAATCAAATCAGGTTACTTAAATATGTTATCGCTGAAATATAAAAGGGGGTCTTATGTGAACACGGAACCTGCAAAGGGTCCGAAACGCAATAAAACGAAATACCAACGCGACGAAACCGCTTAAAAATTGTTTCATTCATTTATATAAAAGGATTTCAACGAATTGAGAATCTCCTCTTTTTTTAATTCAATCGAAAAATTAAATACTGCGCGTCCTTTTTATTTGTACGTACATCCAATAATAAATAAAAGTTCAGCGAGTTCTTTGAACTCAAATAATTTATTTTTAGAATACCAAATACGATCGTAAAATATTTGAAATTTTAGTTTTCAGTTTGTTATTTTTGAATGTATTTTTGTTTATCATTAATTAATACATGTTACCACAACCTTTACTAAGTTTGTTTGGAACTATTGTTTTTAATTAAATTAAACATTGGTAAGTCGAGTAAACTTTAATGTTTTACGAAACGCATACGCATACCTTGGCTTGAAGCCAGAGATTTCATTGAGCGATCCATAATAGTTAACCTATATTACTAAAATAATAAGAAAATCAGTAAATTGTCATAATGAAAACGAAACACTCGCAGTGTTAACTTGTTATACATATCGTGGTATGCAACAGATTGACGACATAAAAGGATAAATAACGATTCTACGTAATAGAATTTATAGATTTTATTAATAATGGCTGACGCGATGACGTTTACATAATTTAAAAATATATCTAAACAATTGACTAGATATATTTGTTAAATGCGACTTCATAATTTTCTAGTATTTTCTATAATTGGAAATATATTTTGTTTTTTCTTTAGATGTCTCCATCTTTCTTTCTATTTCTGTAAGTACTTTTATAGTTTTATAGGTACAAGGGATTTTAAACTTATGCGTTTGTTATTT